TTGGTCTTTCATCTCTCTCGTCTCTCACTCAGTCAGCCCACCCACCGCCGCCGGCTGCTCACCCTCCGACATCTCAGGTCTCAGGTCTCAACCCGCCGCAGCCCGTCTTTCTATCTCTCGTCTCTCACTCTCACTCTCACGGTCTCACCTTCATTTTTCTGATTCACTATAATATTGTTCCGATTCCTGTGATACTTATTTCAAAAGCAAATGTATGTTGAGCTTGTTAATTTCTGAGAGTCAATCATTTGGTCTAAAGTTAGTTTTTGCCCCAATTTCAGTCTATTTTGTTCTCTTCTCGTATAAATGTTGTTTTTTTCAATATTCATGTTGTGTGCTGAGGTGAGTTTTTTTTTTCCATGCTGTCCTTAAGTTCAATATTAAACCAAGTGATGTTGTTGTTCTTGACATTACAGGATAGTTCCTGCTTCCTGCTGGACACTTGGAAATTGGAATGGTAGCATTGAATTTAGTGATCTAATGGAGACTTGATGTGTTTTGTTGTTTATGTTTGTTTGGAATTTGGAAGTTCTATTTTGGGTTTGGAAACTTAAGCTTGGATGGATGTTTATGGATGCTATTTTGGATGAATGTTTATTTTGGATGTTTTATCAACTTTTCTATGATTATTTGTCGTTTTGACCGAACCGAAACATTTTTTTTGCGGGTTTGGTTCGGTTTTTCTTTCAACTTCGGTTAGATTTGGTTTGGACATCTGTATGTTTTATCATTGATCAATTTACATTGACCACTATCAAATAACAAACTTCTTTTGGGAAAACATTAAGTTGTGGCTCGAGCAAACGCTCTTTGTTGTTTATAAATGTGAAGAATGAAACAATAGTGAAGTTTTGATTAATGTGTTGTGTTCGAAGGAAATAAGGATGCACCAAAACAAGGCTGCAACTGCTTATTCTTTTTATTCTTTTTTGGAATAAATGTTACTTGATGTAATTGGGAGTTGATATATATGATTTTGTTTGGCTTATTTCTCTAATGATTTGCCGAGTTTGAGCTCGAGCCCTTATCGAGCAAATTCAAGCTTGGTTCATTAAATCCTAGTACACATAAACAGGCTTGAGTTTGGCTCGTTAACGAGACATATTATAATGAAAATTCAGAAAATTACGTAAAAAAAATCTATTTTCAAGCCTTAACGAGCATAGTGGAGTTGTTTGAGCTTTAACGAGTTGAGCTGAGCTCATGAGCAACTCGTTTCGTATCTAACCAATTTGATAATAATGTACCAAAAATGCTTCGTGCCCTTATATAAAATCAACTCATGCAGTCACCAAGAAATTTCTTCATCATTTTGTTTCATCACCTTTCTACAAATGCTTTAATATGGTTGCTTCAGAACATCACACCTTGGAATAACTTGAAGTTTGCATAGGAAACATTATTTACATGCCAAATTGCAAACACCAAAAAATAAAAAAATAAAATACCAAAGAAGTGTATTTACATGCAATGCACTTAACAGAATATGATTATTGTTTCATAAAGAGTGAAACCTTTACACAGTAACAGCTGCTTAAGACTAATTAGTATTTATTTAATTAGAGCTTTCCTTTTTTGATCCTTCACTTTTGGGTTAAGCATTAAAAAAACCCATTATCAAGTAAAGAAGCACTTGGATAAGGCCTAAGACAAGAAAAAAAAAGATGTCCAAAGTTTGTTCTTGCTTATCATAATTAAACCAGTATCTTTGCTAATCCAAGCTTGATGAGGTTTTTCTAAATACTAAATTTTCACATTAATTATTTCATTTCCCTGATTATACCATATTTTAATCAACTCATGGCCCAATTTTACTCTAATTTATACAAATAAAGATTCTAATTTTTTTATTTTTTTTTTTCAGTTTTAACTGAAATCTTGATAGTGATGTATAACACTATGAAGACAAAGGATTTAGCAGATAAAAAGATCAAAATTTTGTGGGAACAGAATTCCAAACCCCCCAACAGACATAAATCCACAAATTGAAGCAAAGCACATTAAGATTCATTACAGCTTTATTCTACCCAAAAAAATTGACATGAAAAAACCTCCCTTACTGAACTCATTCCTCATCTATATAAACCCTCACAACACCACAAAAACCAAGACAAAGCAATATCTTACAACTCCTTTTTTTTTCCCTTAATACCCCTTCCCCATTAGCCGAACAATGTCGAGCCTTATCCCGGCACCCAAGCCTCACCCGTCGATGGCCGATAGGCGGCTTGCGCCCGTCTCGACCGAACACAAACCGAGTTACGATCAGTTGGATACGCCCGTCACGGATCCCCATAAGCCCACGGGCCCTCTTGCCCCGGGCCGGAGGGCCCGTGACCGCGGCGTACTTTCATCAGACGATAATGCCCTAACCAAGCAAGTCGTCGCCACTCACGCACCCGACATGGAGGACCTCGACGTTAGGCCCATTCTCGCCATTATCGAGGATATCTTGCGCCTCGCAAGGCCCATCTCCGCTCATGACTCGACTTCTTCGGTATTCACTCTTTTTGTTTGAGCATTTGAATATACAAACTTTTTTGTCGATTTTTTTATCTTACTATATATATACGATTTTTGTCGAAAAATCAGGCAGCGGAAATTGCATCACACGTGTTGCCACATGACGAAAAGTCCCTCCACCACTCCACTCACCGGCCTTCGGACGATAAAGTTTTCCACACTCCCCATCCACCGGTCGCCGATCCCGATGCAGAAATCGTCAAAATCCTCGCTTATTCCATCAACAAAGTGTCCTCCGAGGTAAAAATATATATACATATATATATATTTACAAATTTAACCTCTATTTTCACCCTCTCCCCTCACGAGCATTGTTCGTAAACAGATTATTAGCAAATGCTCGGGTGGTGTCGAGACTCATGCGGTCACCATGGAACTCCTCAAGTCCCTGTCGAGCTACTCGTGGGATGCTAAGGCCGTAATCGTATTTGCGGCCTTTGCCATCAATTACGGCGAGTTCTGGCTGGTCGAGCAGCTCCAGAAGACAAATCCACTCGCGAAAAACATCGCCGCCCTCAAGGACCTCCCGTCAATTATAGACCACGCGGGGGACCTGAAAAAAAGGTTCGAGGCTGTTCTTGATTTGCTGAACCAGGTCCTCCGGGTCACACATTGCATCATCGAGTTCAAGGAGCTGCCGCACATGTACATCAGCAGCGAGTCGCCGGAGATATCGGCGGCAACAGCCCATATTCCGACCGCCGTTTATTGGATCTTGAGGAGCCTGCTCGTTTGCGCCTCGACTCTCTTGAACCTGATCGGCAGTGGCCATGAGTACGTAAAATTTTCTATTTTTTTCTTTCAATTCTCGATAAGAAGTTACGATTTTTTTTTTTATTTTTTTTTTAAGATACATGACATCAACGGCCGAGTCGTGGGAGATACTGAACCTGGCACACAAGCTCTCGGTTATATTCGAGCACTTGCAGAATCAGCTGAGGAAATGTACCGAGACAATCAGTAAGTTCACGGTTGTTTTAGACTTTTAGTCCCTTTTATCATCCCTAATTAAACCAGAAAACCAAACAATACTACTATATTCCCTTATTTTGATCTAACAGACAAGAAGAAGGCAGAAGATGCATACTTTGCATTCAGAAAACTTATGGAGTCGGCTCATATCGACAACATGAAAGTACTCAAGGCGATGATCAAATCCCGAGATGACCAACGTCCGCTCTTCGATGGCTCAAAACGACTAAATGTACGTTTTTTTTTTTTTTTTTGGCTACATTATAAGAAGGCAAAAGTGCATTTTTAGTCATGTTGTTTAAACTCATAGAAATTTTAATCCCAAGATTTAAACTTTTTTGTCTTTTGGTCTTGTGATTAATATTTTGCTACAATTGCAGTTCTTTGAGAATTGAAAGTGCAACAAAAATTTAAATTATTGGACTTAAATTGCTAATCGAAAATCTGAGAATTTGTTGCAATTTCAGTCTTCAAAGGACTAAAATTACTACAAAATATTAAATCAAATACCAAAAAGTAAAATGTCGAAACATAGAGATTAAAATTGCTATATCGTTAAACCGACTAAAAATGAATTTTGCCATATAAGAACTCAGAGTACTTAACTTAAGCTCATCGACAGGAACGAATAGAAGCCCTTCGGCTAAAATACGTGCTCCTCCTAATCTCGAACCTCGAGCTCCCTCAAGAAGAGCTCCACATACTCCACTCCATCTACAGCCAGCACCAGATGAGGCACGAGTACGAAGTATTATGGCTGCCTCTCATGGACCCCACCACGGCCCAGCTAACCCCGACTCAAGAGACTGTATTCTACGACTTACGAAACAACATGCCGTGGCATTCGGTCGAGCACCCGTCACTGGTCGAGCCAGTGGCTGCGCGATACATTCGGGACGTGTGGGGTTTCGTGCACACGCCAATGCTGGTTGTGCTTGACCCGCAGGGAAAGCCTGCCAACCTGGACGCCCTGCCTATGATGTGGATATGGGGAAGCTCGGCTTTCCCATTCACGCGGGCCCGCGAGGGGGCACTCTGGGCCGAGAGCACGTGGAATATCGACCTGCTGGCCGATGCCATCGACCCGCGATTCTCCGAATGGGTACGTGTTTGATGTATCTTTTGTTTACTTTGATTACTTGATTTCCGACAAGTAAAACAAGCTAAAAAGAACTCGAAGCCAGTGCATGAAAACAGAGGAAAACATAACAAAATAGTTGGGTTTTTTTTTTTGTATTGGGGACGTGTGATGCATTTTTGTTTATACTTCTTTATGGTGTGTGGTTGCTCGGTAAATGTTGGGGAAGATCAAACTTCTCCCGTAAAAGTTTTTCGATTTTCGACAAGTAAAACAAGCTAGAAAAAAACTCAAAGCCACAACTTGAAAACAGAGGAAAACAGAACAAAAAAGATGGTTTTTTTTTTACTTTTTTTTTTCCTCATGGTACTCATTTTTCATTTTTTCGGGTTCGATTAGATTCGAGACAACAAGGTGATTTGCCTGTACGGAGGGGAGGACATTGACTGGATCCGACGGTTCACCTTATCGGCACGTGCGGTTGCCGGTGCTCTTCAGGTCCCTTTGGAGATGCTTTATGTCGGCAAACGCTACCCGAAGGACAAGGTTCGGAGGTGCCACGAAGTGATTCACCGCGAAAATCTGAGCCACATTTTCTCGGTCGACTATTACGACTACGTGTGGTTCTTTTGGGTTCGGTTGTGGAGCATGTGGAACTCCAAGAAACAAATAGGCATGACCGTCGACAATGATATCATCATGCAGGAAATCATGGACATCCTCGCCTACGACAGTAGCGAACAAGGGTGGGCCGTTTTTAGCCGCGGAAATTACGAGATCACTAAGGCCAATGGGGAGAAGGTATACGCAGACTTGCATTATAGTTTAACTTTTAAAAAAGAGTATAAACAAAAGTATAATGTCCATGTAAAACAAAAACGAGGCGCTCGTGAGTTTGACTCGAGCTCGATTTTGTTTAATTAACAAGTCAAGCGCTGCTCAACTCGATAAGGCTCAAAGCGATTACATAATTTTTACAGTTCGACTCACTAAAGCTCGAGTTCGGATCGTTAATATTGATAAATGATTCGAGTTGGGGCTCGATTACTCGTTTGTTAAGTTAACGAGTCGAGTTGAGCTAGACTCAATTACACCCTTGCATTTGATAGAATAAGTATGCATTGTTACTCACAAGAGAGCCAGCTCGGCTCATTAATGCTCGAATTTGTGCAATTAAAGAGTCGACACAAGTCGACTCTTTAATATTGGAAAAGATGATTTTTATATAATTTCCTACAATTCGACTCGTTAAATCTCAAGTTCCACTCTTATACCGTCCTCGATTAAGTTTACATTTTTTATCACACGAGTGTAATCTATCGGCCCACCTAACTGTTAGGCTGACTCGCTGAAAATCTTACGTTTATTTCTACGCAGGTGATGCCGGTTTTGGACGGCTACGCAGATTGGGGGTACAAAGTCGATCATCCGGACAAATTTGTGCCAGTGCTTGACGAGCAACTACGGGGTTTCCACCCAGAGCACCACTGCAACCGCCTGATTCTGCCGGGTCAGGCGGGATACATCCCCGAAAGGGTGGTGTGCTCTGAGTGCGGCAAGCTCATGGACAAGTATGTCATGTACCGTTGTTGCACCGACTGACGAACCCGCGTTTTTAAGTATGATGGTGTTTGTGAAAATCAATAAATCACTATCTGTATGACTTTAACTCTTTTGTTTCTGTATTTTTATTTTATTTTATATTTTCTAGTTATCTTTGTTATCGAAAATGTACTTGGGATTTGATTGTTTGTGATGATGTGAACGTTAGTGCTTGTTCATCAATAAAGAGCTGCAATTTGCAAGCTTGTTTGTGTAATTTTATTGAATTTATCTTCTATTTATTGAAATAATTTATATAAAAATAAATAAATAAATTGGGTGGGTAAGATGAGGTGTCTTGTGCAAAGACTAGCCAATCTTTGGAGATTGAAATTCAAGGATCTTAACTATTGGCTTGAGTCTTGAGATAGGAAGGATTTTTATTGGCTATATCTTTTGGCTGTTTTTCTTTGTCCTAATTAAGCTCAAGAATACAATTTTATAATATGGTATATAAATCCCTTCCTATATATTAATTCAAAACGGGTTGAGTCTAGGTGGCAGATTCTCATGCTTCGGATGCTGACATAGCAAAAATCTATATTTCTTAATGTTGTTTTTATATTATTTTTACTCTGGGTTAGATTTGGTATTAGACATAAATAACTTTACACATATATTCATTAACTAAGGACCTCTGTTGTACATGAGTATTAATACTAATAAGTTATTATATATGCATGCATTGATGTGGGTTGACATAATAAAATATAGGGGTAAAATTAGTTCCTTTCTCATTCAGCCCCCAACATTTTCCTTTGTGCATGTGAGCAAGTTGACAAGTTGGGGCATCCAAATTTATATTATTACAGATTTTTTTTTTTTAAAAAAAAAAAGAAAATTGTATTATAAAAG